CGCGTCTAGCTCTCAACCCCCCTAGCTGCCACCTCCCCTCACCGGTCAACCCTACCGGAAACTCCATCGCCGACCATGCAACAACCGGAGGCCGCCGTCTAACCATCTCCGGCCGCCGCAACAACTCGCCGGAGACTTTTTTCGCCCAGAATCCTCCAATCTCCTTCTTTCTCCTTCGATCTTCATCACCAGTCGCCGGAAAACTCATCCTCGCCGGAAAACTCATCCTCGCCGGAAACTTTATACACTCAAATCTTCATCAACGCTTGACCCTCAAAACCTCACGAAAATCATCATCTCCATCGTAACTCAGAGATCCTTCGACGCTTTGTTTCTCGATCCAAGAACACCTGAGTTTTGCGCCCAGAAATAGTTCGGTGTTCTTGATCTCGTACCTCCAGAATCATCATCTTCATCCGTATTCATCAACACCATAATCCTTCAGCAAGCGTTTTTTGGATCTTTATCAGAAAATCCCCTCCGTTCGTGGATTTCTGTTGAGTTTCAACAGCGACTTCTTCAAAGAACGTCAAACCGCTCGTTTCGTCTTCATCCAGGTTCTTTTCTTCATTCTCTTCTTGTTTAAGCTCTTGCATGTTATTAGTAACGGTAGGTGTGTAGTTCAAGGCCTTCGGATTCAGATAGAATGTTAGGTTTTGTGAGGGAAACTCTGAGTGAATTGAACTTCTAGGTTTAGCTTTGTGTCTTTGGTTTGAACATAGATCTGGCGAAGCGGTTAGCTTGGTCTGATGATCGGAACTGAGTTCCGGAGATTGATTAATGGTAGCGTTTTTTAGGATGAGTAGGTGGTGACTAGTGTACAGATTGGGGTTTGTATGGCGTTAAGTTTTCGCGTGCGGTTTCAGAAGGTTGATGTTTCAGAGAATTGAGAGGGTTGAGAGAGCAGCGACGGCGCCTAGGGTTGGTATCTGGAAGAGAGTGAACAGTACCAGAGTGTGTTGGGAAGGAGATAGTTTTGACTAGGGTAACTGGATTAGGGTTTGATCGGACTGGGCTTAGGCCCAAGTGTGTTTGCTGCGCATACACTCCAATTGCTTCCCCACCCCCTGTTTGAGAGTCTGAATGGGTAAATTGGGCCTTAGGCCCTATTCCTTTCTGCACCCCCTCGTTGGGGCCCATAGGCGAAATAAACTGAGAATTTACTAGTCTGTACCCCCCAGCTGTTTTGGTTTTCTGATTGTTTGATATTAAGTCCTGGGCCCTGCGCCCAACTGCTGTTGGCACCCCCCAATCAGGGCCCAGCTAGAAATCCTTCATAAGTCTCTTGCTGTTTAAACCTCCCATGTTATTTCTTTTTTTTTTCTTTTATATTTTTCTTTGCATATTAAATAATTCATGAATAAATGTAAATAAATGATTTTTTTTAATTCTTCCTTGTTATTCCATTTCATGAAAAATGTTTAGAAAATTAAATAAAAATAAAAGTGACATTTTATTTTTGTTTGTTATATTTTGCATATTTTTCAATTAATTGATTTGTTTTTAATATTTTCAATGCATGCATATCATTAGAAAATTCATAAAAAATGGTAGAATTAGTCAAATAATTCCGTTCTTTTTTCTGTAGACTCGTAATTCAGTGTAGAATTTTATAGCATAAAAATATTAGCTTAATCATGCATTTTCATTTTAATTGCATTTTTCACTGTTATTGATGTTTGAATAAACTGGTCTGTTTGATATGTCTGGTTGCTGATTTTGATGCTTTCATCTGGTGCTGAATTTTATTCTGATTTTTTTAGTATGTTATCCTAGAGCCATGTAGGTCTCCCATTAGATTTTTGTTAGATTTTTGTAGGGTGTTCTGCTGTGATTTGTCTGAGCCTGAAAATAGGAGAAGTTTTGATGACTTCTGACTGTGAAGTTCAACTGTGGTTGAACTTCAGAGATAGTCTCCTGTGGTTTGTTGGCCTGTGGGTTCTTCTTGAAGGTGGGAGCTGATGGAGGTCCTGCTGGGGCTTGCAAGGATGCAGTAGATTGAGGCTTAGTCTAGGAGCTTGTTGTCTGTTTGTGAGGTTCGAGATCCTGAAGTTTGAAGGGAGTTTATGGTACTTTCCTGAGGAAGGCACTATGAATGACTTTCATCCTTCCTTCTCACCTCTTTCGTAAGTATCCAATGATGTCGGAGCCGACTTGTGAGTTTAATTCCCCCTGAGGAGGAATGTAAACTGATCACATGTTGTTGAGCCACATGGGATACGATTCCTAAGTGTTAGCCTCCTAGTACTTTCCTGAGGAAGGTCCTAGGGGTCTATTCACTTAGTTCCATTAGTTTATCTAGGATTTCGTAAGTATCCAGTGATGTTGGAGCCAATTTGTGAGTTTAATTCCTCCTGAGGAGGAATGTAAACTAATCACAGTTGTTGAGCCACGTAGGATACGATTCCTAAGTGTCAGCCTCCTAGTACTTTCCTGAGGAAAGTCCTATGAGTCTGTTCACTTAGTTCCCTTAGTGCATATAGGTTCTTTCCCAAATATCCAGTGACGCCGGAGCCTTCATGTGAGTTTAATCTCTCCTGAGGAGGGATGTAAACTGATCACAGTTGTCGAGCCGCATAGGATATGACTCCTGAGTAGTAACCTCCTGGTACTTTCCTGAGGAAAGCACTATGAGCTTGTCTGCTTAGCTTCCTTTCTCTGGTAAGCTTGTTCTGAAGCTTGGAGACTGGGATTGATTCCTCCTGCCTAGGGTTTTGATTAATTGTTGCTTAGATCTTTGCTTAGGGTGTTGGATAGAGTTCTGTTTAGAGCTAGGTTAGGAGATTGTTTCAGGTTTGTTTGAGGCCCTGTTCAGGGTTAGTCCCTTTGATTTGTTTGACTTGTGTGATGTTATGTTGCATTAGACTTAGGTGTCCATCTAAATAGTTTCTGAGTAGGTGCATCTTAGAAGTAGACGTTGTGTGCATGAGAAGTTGAGGTGGTCCTCCTTCTGCTTGTTTGTTATTGCGTGGCTTTGCTTGTTGGTATTCGGTAGAGCTGAGCTCCCTTGCCTTTGTGGTTTGCGGCCTCTGTGCCTTGTTTGTTTAGTTGTTGCATTCATGCATATTTTCAGTATTCTTTACGTTGCAGTTTCTTGTGTGTAGTTTAGTCCTGTTGCCATGATCCCTTAGGAGCTCTGACTTCTCCGCTGCGGAGTTGTTATGATAGACATTAGGATGGTCAACCAGGTGTGATAGCAGTAGGTAGATTCCCCTTTCTCAGCTATAGTTCTAGGGTTTCCCTTTCCTTTCTGTAGGAGCTTTTGAGTAGCTTGACCCGTAGTTAGCTGAACTACAGCTGCTCTGATTCTTCGTTCCAGACGAAGATATGTAGGCATAGGATGCGATATCCTAGCGAGCACACTAACGACTAACTTTTGTTCTCTCGCGGCTGTGCGATCGAGACTTTCCCGCTAACGACTAATTGTTATCCCTTTCTCCTGCCCGAGTGCATTTGAGACCAGATCGTATTTGTAGGTTCCCGAGCCTTTAGGACCAGTTTGTTTTCTCACTGCTGTGTGAGAACCCCTGTTTACCCGTAGTTAGCCGAACTACGCTTGCTCTGATCTTTCATTCCAGATGAAAGTACGTAGGCACAGGACGCGATGTCCTGGCGAGCAATCTTTCCCCCGTTTAGACGTAGGCAGTCGAACTACGTTGACTCTGACTTTCCCATTGCACGAGGGAATACGTAGGCCCAGAACACCGTATGTTCTGTCGAGTCCTGTCCTTTTATTTTCTTTTCAGACCAGCCATTAGCGTAGATAGATAACACACCCTTTTACCTATAAACACCAAGCGTGGATCCCATCGAGTACGATGGACGTGAGGGGTGCTAATACCTTCCCCTTGCGTAACCGACTCCCGAATCCAGGTTTTGGTTGCGATGACCATACCTTTTCCCGTCTTTGCGAGGTTTACTTCGAGCGTTTCCTTTCCCGCTCTGAGGGATAAATAACGCACGGTGGCGACTCTCCTGTCAAGCCGGCGCCGATTTTCGCAGTAGCGACACAAACCAGGTGTTTTGATTTCAATTATGAAGGCATTTGATATCCTTGGATTGGACATTCACCAAGCTACCATAAGTTATTTAAATGGTTTTACCATAGATGTGTACAAAGCTGAGGTATATATCTATTTTTCATAGTCATGTTTTATACAGAATTTAATATTTGAAGTTGTTTCAATGGTTTCACTATCATGTTTTATAAAAAATTTAATATAAGAATAGTACTGCCATTACCATGTGTTACACTCTTTCGTATTATGTTGCATATATTTGTGGATTTCAATTAAATAATACTGGACTTACTCAGACGCGTCTTTTTATTTACTTTATAGGCCTACTAGAAATCCATATGATCGCAAAAAGATTGTAGGAGGTTCTTCTGGTGGATCTGCTTCTTCGGTGTTAGCGGGACTGTGGCCTGTTGCTCTTGGTGTTGATGGAGGAGGTATTTGATCCAAATCTCTTGATTATAGTCATAATTAAAATGAATAGTGATTTATCTGGTCTTTCATTTGTTGAATCACTATGATGTTTGCACCTGTTCAGGATCTGTAAGGATGCCTGCTGCTCTTTATGGTGTTGTTTGTCTGAAACCAACTTTCACGCGTATACCACATGACGGGTAGGTATTCATTTGTTGCATCATGTTTAAATACTAGAAAATTTGTAACTATGATTTACAAGAACGTCCTTCTGTTATATCCAGAGTTCTTCCTATAAACTGGACAGTTGGAATGGTTGGAATATTAGCAAGCACGGTCGAGGATGCGCTGATAGTGTTAGTAGTTATTTCTGTGACACTTTATCTTTAATGAACTGATAGATTGGTTTTACAGCATCTGTTGTTTTTCTATTTATAGTTATGCAGCTCAGTGGCGAAATTCCATCGCATCCGCCCTTTAGCGTATTGGTAAAGATTTTGATCGTTTATCATGATTCTGATTAAATATACACTTTTTATAGTCTCTTTGAACTTCTAAAACCTTTTTGTAATGCTTCAGACCAAGATAAATCTTCCAAGACTAAGCTTGACAAAGTCCATATCTTCCATCAGGTTGGCGAAATATGGAAAGGTTAGACACCTAATTCCAGATATAAACACGCATTATCAGTTTCGTGGATTATAAAAGTAGGTTTTTCTAACATTATTTATGTTGTTTAACCACTACTTCGATCAATTAGTGGTTTGATGATTGTAGTAATGATGTCAAAGTATGCTGCTCCCTAGCTTTGCTAAAGCTTCAAGATCATTACAACTGGAAGGTATTGAACAATATAAAAATTATGTTACAACAATTACCGAATCACTTCTAAAACAATTACCGAATCCAAAATTGAGAAACAGAAGAGCTATTACTCGCTAACTTGGTTTTCTTTTTCTTCAAACATACAAGATTATAGATGTCACCATTACAGATATAGAAATGATGCGCTTGGCTCATCATATAACAATTGGATCGGAGTGTTCCACAGCGCTTGATTCTTATATAACAATTGTATCCCCGTGTGAAATTTGCAGTAGTCTCAAAATTGCTGGTTATACTCTAAACATTATTTGCACGAGTAAATATCCGGTGAAGTTGTTTCTCTAACTGGTGGCCACCACTTTTTAGGTTATCAGGGAGTAGGAATGAGGCAACAGTTCCCTGCCGAGAGAAAACGGGCCCTTGGGCTTCAGGTGCAGTGCTTTACTTGTTTGGTTTTTTTCATATTGCATCTGGATTCCATAATGGTTTTATATTGCTCGGCATATTTAATTTCTTCTACCATCACCAGCAATGATTTCTAGCTCTTAATGAAATAATTGTTGGATGCCTTATTGTTTCAACTGATTTTGTGTCTCTTTTGAGAATGAATCATCAAATTTGTTGAATGAATGTGTTATTACATATATGCTTCCTTTTCTCACATTAGGTGTAAAGTCATTATCTGTTATCATTAAAAATATTGAAGTTTTAATACACTTTTTTGTTTTGATAGTTACCTGTAACTGATTTGTTCCTTGACTTGTGCTAGTCTCGAGCCCAACCTCGAGAAATAATGGTCGAGGTTCTTAAAGCTTTGCAAGGACTGAATGTCTGTTGGAAAAAAATTGGACAGTATAATATGAAGTGCAGATGGGTCGTCGGCATCGCTGGTCATCAGGGAGGAATGGTGAACAATTCTGTGCTTAATAATAATTTCCTTGGAAATGTCGGCATTATTGAGAGTGAAGCCGTTCCAAAATCAAGTGTAGTCAAGTTTGAATTGTAGCTAGTTATATTGATAACCCTAATCTATGATTTATTTTAGATTTAAATTAATTGTTTGATTACCTGTTTAACAACTTTTTCATTGTTATTCACTGATGCTCGCAAGAGATAGAAAACTCTTTGCTAAATATTAGTAGTTTGAAGCCAATGTTTAAGGTTCTCCAAATTATTATTTTTCCTCATTCTTCTTGTCACAACTTGAGTGTGGAATAGGCTATGATTGCTTCAGATTCTGGTTGATCGACGATCCCAAGACTCCCTCTTTTTCTTGCTGTTTCACTGCTGAACTTGGAAGTTTTGGCTTTAAAGCTGAAGCTGCAGAAGGCTCCTCCTCTTATAGACAAAGAGGACTCCTTTAATTGGTTGGGGTCTGCTATTGGTGTATTTTTTGTGTCTAACTTCTATGAGATCATTTTCCAGGATTGCATAGAAGAAGATGTGACAGAGGAGATTCAACATATTTTTTTAAAAAAAATATTTGCAACTTGCGGCGGTTCAAACCGCCATAATATACAACAGTTTTTTTAAAAAAAATATTTCTAATTTGCGACGGTTCAAACCGCCACAATATACAATAGTTTTTTCTAAAAAAAATATTTGCAAATTGCGGCAGTTCAAACCGCCACAATATACTTTCGCAATCAAGAATGAAAACAAAAATCATTAAGCAAGTTAAGACGGTTGAAACCGTCACAAAATGGAGATTACGACAGTTAGCTACCCGTTGTAAAAATAACGACGGTTTGTACGACAGTTTTCACAACCGTCGCAATACGGCCTCGCGATGCACGTTTCCGCGACGGGGTTGAAATCGTGGTAACTTACAAATTGCGACGGTTAAAACTGTCGTAATATGAGATCCCCCATTTATAACTTCTCGCCTAATCACTACCTTGTGCAACTTCTACTTAGACACTCTCTAGATATGAGATCCCCCTCTCACTTCCTAATCAGTCACAAACCAGTGACAATTCAACAACTACCCAAAATAGAAGTACCAACCCTTCCAAGTACAATACTTAATTTTGCTTAAAAGCTTCAACCAAGAACAATATGCTCTTGCTTAAAAGCTTTAAAGTGAACAATTAACAATGAACAATAAGTGAACTCAATACATCAAACTTGATACAAGAGTGGCATACAAACTAAAACACGATAAACACTAAAGAGACTCCAAAACTTGACTAATCCTAATTTCTTCCAAAATCCCCGCTTTCTTTAGGTATTAAGACTCCATTAAATAAGCATCTGAGCTGCATGGGCTTGGACTCTTAAAGCAAAATGCAAAACACCAGGAATCAAGCTTTCAATCATTGGATACTTTCCTGCACAAAAATAGGAACAAAATACAAAGTTTCCTAAAAAGGCTCAAGGATCCTTTTTACGAAAACCAACACAGTTTGTTAAAACAAAAGTTCCCACAATATCCCTAAATGGATAATCCAACGTATGAATTAAAACGCACTCAAATATCACACTAAAAATAGCAAAACAGTCAGGCCATAACTTTCTAGTATAACATGTACTAGTACATGTCACAACATCATACTAAACATGATGTCTTGACTGACATGAAAGAACACCTGACTTAACATCTTGTTGGTAGCATGTTTTACCAAAATGTTGCCAATAAAAAAACCATATTAAATTGTATGTGGGTTTTAGGGTGTCACATTATCAACCCAGATATCATGCAAAAACCTAGCCATTTGACCGTCCGAAGCCTCTTGACACAAGAGGCGATAAACCAGTTAGACTCCATGTCATGTGGAAACCACAGAAACGAGATGTCTCTCCACTACTAAGATACCCTCTTAAGTGTAAGTTAAGATTGCACCAAAGAGGGGGGAGAGGGGGGGGGGGGGGGGGTAAATTAGGTACTTAGATATTTTTTTGAAATTTTGACAGTTTTAAGTTTTACTTTCCTAAGTAATTACTGTGTGATGAAAACTGTAAATGCGGAAAGTAAACGCCACAAGAACATATTTTGGTTTCCCTCACAGTCTGAGAGTACTTCAGTCCCCTTTCAACATGAAAGAGATTTTTAATAATGTTAGGACTTAGATAAGACTCTTCCTAGCCTTTCTATACAGACACTAACAAATCAATACCAAGAACAACCTCTTAGATTTTTCACTAAGTTCAATTGAGGCTAATCCTCTCACAGTGGACCTCTTGTTTCCACAACTAGGACAACAAGGAATGCAACTTTACAATCTTATTACCAACAATCCTGGAAAAATAAGATGTGACAAGCAATGTATAATCTGAATTTTTGTAAGTGTTTGAAATGGATTTTTAACAATAATGAATCAAAAGATTGATCTTCTCCTTATAACAAACAATTCACACAATGGTAGACAAGTGTTCTTGATAAATGGAATGAAACTAGAATGATTTTTATGAAGATTTAATGCACAAGTTTCACTCTTTAAGAATCTGGTTTGAACACTTATAAAAAAATTGAAAGTTTAAAGAGATGAAAGAATGTTTGAAATTTTTGCAAGAAGGTGAGAGTAAAAATCTGATGCAATGGTGCTTAAATAGCTCTAATGCACCTCTGCAAATGAGTGTAATACATGAGGGGATGTCATGGTTCAAGACAAGAAATTTTAAATCTAACAAATGAAAAAATGCAATATTTTCTGCAACTGCTTCAGTGTTAATCGATTAACCATACGGGGTTAATCGATTAACATACAACAACGTATAAAAGGTTTGTAAGAATTAACTGATTAATCGATTAACCACAGGGGGTTAACTGATTAACAGCCTGACAGAACTGAAAATCCTTGTTTTTTCAATATAAAACTTGTGGCAAAATGATTTTAAACACCTTAAACACTTGTGGCATGCATATATGACCTATGAACACTTGTATATGCATTATCAATAATTGAGTGCCATATACCTCTTGATCAATCCTTGAAAAACTTCACGACTTAGATGAATTTGAACTTTGTTTGCTTTCATTGTCTTTGATCCATTTCTTTTTGTTGATCCAATCTTGTATGTAGAAATTGGTCTTCATCAAAATCTTAAGAAGCTTATCTTCACATTAAGGTTCTTAAGCCTACCCCCAACGGCAAACTGAAAACTTGTAATCCATTATTTTTTCAGAAAATATCTCTCCACATCAAAGACACGTTAAAAAGAATCCTTCAACTCCACTTACTTAATAGGGCGAGGTTAACAAGTCGAAGATCCTTGACACCTAAATTGCCAACCCTTTTTGCCTTACATACATTTGTTGACTTAACCTTGGAAAAATTATCACCCTCTTTGGAACCCCATAGAGAAAATGACTCTTCACTACACCAGAATTTAGTTTTAGCAGCGCATACAAAGACATCGCTTTTTAAAAAAGCGCTGCTAAAGGGTCAGTAAAAAAAAAGAAAAAAATTGCCTACCAAAGACAGCGCTTTTAAAAAACCGCTGCTAAAGGGGGACCCTAAGAAAGCGCTTTTTAAAAAAGCACTGCTAAAGGGGTACCCTAAGAAAGCGCTTTTAAAAAGCGCTGCTAAAGGGGGACCCTAAGAAAGCGCTTTTAAAAAGCGCTGCTAAAGGGGGACCCTTAGAAAGCGCTTTTTCTATAAAGCGCTGCTATATGGCATTGCTAAGGCACCCTATGAAAGCGCTTTTAAAGCGCTGCTAAAGGCCTTTAAAAAGCGCTGTTATAGGTATTAGTATTATAATTTTAAAATACCCTCTAGAATTTTAAAAGAAACAGAACAGTCGCAACGTGTTTCTTTTCTTCTTTCTCCTCTGGCGACGAACTTGCCCTATACAACCATTCCGTTGTCGTCACTCCGTCCGACCGTCGCCCTCTTCCGTTGGATTTTTCCGCCGTTCACCGTCCGTTTTCGAGTGCATCCGTCTGTCTGCATTGCATTTCCACCATTGTTACGGTATGTGAAGTTTTACTCTGGTTTTCTTGTTTATTTATCTTTTCACCATTGTTGTTGTGGTATTTGAAGATATAGATGGTTTTTTTGTTCTGATGATATAGATGGTTTTGTGTTATTGAGATATTGAAGGTTTTGTGTTATTGTCTCTTTGTTGTTATTAAGAAATTGAAGGTTTTATGTTATTGAGATATTGAAGGTTTGATGTAGTTGTTGCAATGCGAAGGTTTGTTGTTATTGAGGCATTGAAGGTTTAATATTATTGTTGTTGTTGTTGTTTTTATTGAGTTATTGAAGGTTTAGTGAAGGTTTTTAGTGTTGTTTTGCATTGAGGGTTTGAGGACATGTAAGTAAATTTGAGTTCAAGTATGATATTTGATATGATGTTAACACTAATGTTGTTGGGTTTGTGTAGATATGTTACGTATACACTAA